CGGCGACGGCTGCCTCTCCTCGCAGCGCCAGCTGCAGGGGGTGATCGGTGGGGTTCGCAAGAACTTGCTAGACCACTGTCGGGGCGGCGCCCCCGTGGCCTAGTCTGACTCGTCCGTGCTCTCCCCTCTGCTCCCCGCCGCCTCTGGCGGCGGAAAACCTCCTGCAGCACGAAGAAGGCGCCGCACTTTCTCCTGAAAAGTGGCAGTGCGAGACGGAACAGGCTCGAGCGGCGCCACGTCTGTCCCTAGTGCCTGTGCATCCTCAGCACGAACCTGGACAGACCCCGACACAGAAGCGGGAAGCCCAGGCACTAGGGCAGGGGCTGCACGGCTCGCAACTTGCGGGGCAGCCCTGTGGTGGTGAGGCGGTGTTCGCCCACTCTGCCTAGGGGCGCCAGGCAGGCTGGCCCCCCTATTGGCAGGAGAAATTAAAAGAGAGGCGAGCGGAGCTTCGTCTTCCTGTCGTTCCAGAGCGTCCTTCTCCAGATGGCTCAAGGCCAACACCACAACCTGAGGCTGCTCTGGGACGACCGAAGGGGCTGCACGGCTCGCGTCGGCGGTGGAGGCAGCGGGAGTTGCGCTGACGGCAGCGTTCTCTCCCAACCCTCGGCTGCCGAGGTGTGAAGTGGCTCGAGTCGGCTCGAGCTTTACATCTTGCGCTGCGGTATGCAAAGGAGGCGGTGTTCGCCCCCTGAACAGTGAGACGCCAGGTTGGCAGGTCTCGAGCAAAGGGCCAGACAGCACTTGGCGAATTAAAAGCGGGGCATTGTCCTCCTGTCGATCCAGAGCATCCTCCTCTCGAGAACCTAACGAACGCTCGAACCCGTCGGGATGCTCTGGCACGGCAGGCGGGTCGTCGCGGCCTGAGGGGCCGAGGCTGGCTGCGCTAATGTCGTCTGTCAGCTGCGCTGCTGAGGATGGGCCACGCTGACCTCCGTCAACGCCCCCCGAAACTGCGGCTTCGATGAACGGTTGCAGGGAGCATTCCCCAGGACAATCGTCCTCGGGAGGCTCGATAAACACTTTGATCCCGTTCTTGCCGCGCTGCGGGTGGATCCCTCGGAGGACGCGATTCCACTTCCACTGCTGTCGGCTGTCACGGGAACCTTTGCACCGACATCGGTACAGGTTAGACTTGCGGGGAGTGCCAGTGGAAACGAAAGGCGCACAATGCAAACAGATGAAGAGGTGTGCTCCGTCAGAACACGAGAAACAAACAATGCTGTGGCGTTGATTCGCCACCCGTTCTAAATCTAGGCCGAGTATGATCCCCAGGCATCTTCTGGGCGGTGGCCTGGGCGCGCCCATGAGGGAGGTTGAAAAGTCTGACCGCCTCGAGGCACGGCAACACTTGCTTGGCGCATCGCCAGAGCCCAGCGATCCACGAGAAATTCCACTCCTCTGGCGCGACCCTGCCCACAGCGCCCTTTGAAATCGGTCTGTACTCCACCTCGCCATCCGCCTTAAGTGACGGGAAAAGGGGTAAAACCTTCATAGCAAGGCGGCAGAAAGCAGAGACAAAATGGACCTGCTCATCGACCGTGGCTAAGGCCTCGTCGTCGCGCTCACGTAGAGAAAGGGCGGCCTTCGCTCCTCGGTCGGCGTAGTCGTTGCCAACCCTTATGAAGCGATCGCGGTCAGAAAGGCTGTCACCGTCTAAAGACTGATGCGACTTGACCTTATAAAGTTCAGATATAAGACTGGCCCCTTCGTGGCTATGCGCCCGGAGCGCGTGGCCAGCGCAAGCTTTGCGGAGGTTGACACGGTCCGCGTGACTTGACTGAAACTGAGAAATCACACTCTGGCCATCTGAGAAGAAAACTCTGAAGGACCCACGATACACATCGTGGCAGCTGTAAGTGCGCAAAATTCGGCACATTGTGGCCTCTGCGGCAGAGGCGCATGCACTGGGCCTCTGATATCGCACTGAAGCTGGCCGTCTTTGAAAACAGACAGGGCCCAGGCAGCTCGACTTAATTATTTAATAATGTGGCGGCTGCACGACCCATCCACAAAGATCTGCCCCTGGATGTGGGCCCTGTCCGAGGGAGGTTCGACGAACCAATCGGCCTCCAGGGGCCCAGACGCGCACGGGGTGGGGTAATCATCTCCTGGGTGCGGCAGCCCCCCTCTAGCGACGGCAAAAAGCAAATTCTTGTGATCGACGAAACTGTCGATGCTGTCCAAGATCTTGCGCTCCACCGTGTCCTCTCTGGTTCCCTGAACTGCGGGGCATTTTCAGATACAGTGAAAAAAACGCGTCTCGTTGACCGCATCCCAACGGACAAAGCTCCGAGTGCAAGTATCCCTTGGAGACCGCGTAAGTCCTGGCCCATAAAGCCCCCGCACACACAATCCTGAGGGTACCTTTTTTTTTCAAGGGGCGAATATTTCTTGGAGGCGAGGTGCCTCGCAACAACATCCTAACAGGCCCTCTGGCGGAAACCTACTTTCATGCCGATGTCCTCCTCAAGCCTTCGAAAATCAGCTTCGCGGGGCATCTGCTTCAACATGCCAGGCGACTGAAGCGCCAAGGACACCTCGTGGCCTTGGTCACTGACCAGGGTACAAAAATCAGACATGGCCCAGCGGATGCGCTCGAGGGATTTTATCACGGTCATCCCTGGGCCGCTGACACTGCGCCAGGCCGGGAGTTTCCTGGGGAAGACGGCTTCCCAGGACTCACCGAGGCTGCTGAAGGGGGGGGGTGGAGGGATGCACATGGCACTTGGTGTTCCACACCTCTTTGCGCCACCAAAGAATAGGAGCAACTTGAACGACCCAGGTAGGGCCACGCTCCAAAAGAAGAAGAATGGACAATCTTCTACCCCCAGCCGAAGGCTTGAGGACCGAGGCGAAGGACCTCCTGAGGTCCAGGAGCTCGGCGTCCGAGACACCAAAAACCCCGGGCCCGTAGGTGGCCGCGGGGAGCGGGCCCGCAACCCAGATGTTCCGAGCCCGCCGACCGATTTGGCGCGTGAGCTTGCCCAAGCGACGGGCCCGCATCTTTGCCCTAGCCCGTCGCTTCTACGCCTTGTAGTCTCTCCCGCGGTGCCTTAAAGGAGTGCCGGCCGCGTCGTCAACACCTAGATTCGGGGCGGCGGGAACGGCGGGGCCCGCGAGCGAGGGACCCAGACGCTTTTGAATTTCATGGCCCAGGGCTTTGTTGGACACAAGGAGAACAGCTTTGTCCTCAGACAGCGACGCACCGATATCTTCGCTGATGACTCGCACAAGTTGTGGGGGCCCTTGGACCACACCTTCCAGAACTTCTTGAACCCCCCTACAGAATGGATGCCGCTGTCATCCACGTAGAGGCTGTAATCCACGCACGGGTGCCAGACTATAGAGTCCAGCCCCTCCAGCGAGTTCACCCTGATGAAGGTGGTGGCAAAGGGGCAGCCCGCAACGAGGCCCTTGTTGGCCCACATCGCGATGGTGGTCGCACCATTGAGGCTGAGGTGCCGAGGGCCGCGATAGCCCTGGCATGCCAGGCGAGCCACACTGTAAGAAAAACCAAGCCTGCCGCAACGATCAAGCACCTGGTCGATGGACAAAGTTTCGCAGTACATGTAGAAGTCCACAGGAGCGTGACCGCACACTGTCCTCTAGCAACCCCTGCTTCACTCAGAAGGGATTGCCTCCAGACCGTGTCCGCAGCTCCCATGCACTTCCCAGCCGCGAACCAGGGCCTTTGATGACCAAGCTCCCAGGACACGGCCGCGGGCCTCCGAAGCCGCCCCCAGAGGCGGAAGGGGCCACAAAAAATCCCGATGGGGCGAAAACCTGCCACGGGCTTGGGAAGAAGCATCATCGTGATTCTGTGCACTTGCTCGAGGATGAGGGAGGAGATTTCCATGATCCTGAAGAGGTCCAGGAGGGTCCTGAGCGAGTCATCCGAGAGCCAAGAAAAGAACCTCATATGAAAGCCGTACGTACTGACAGCTGCCCTGGCTTTGTAGCGCCGGCTCGCAGCGCGGACCTCGTCGAGGTCGGGGGCCCCCAGGGGCTCCAAAGGGAGAAAATCAGGCGGGGGAGGAGGAGGGGCGATCGAGGCTCGCCATAAGCCTTGAAACTTGATCGCCTCCGAGGCGAGCACAGAGAGAGGGTCGCTGACAACTGAAAAATCGTCGGCCAGTACGGCCGTGGCCGTCCAGGCATTGGGGGTGTCCGCGACCTGGTGAACCCTGCGCGCTCCTTGCTCGTTCCCCGTCTCCAACCACTCATTCCAAGGGGACCTCCCCCTAGCCTGGGCGGTCTGACACGCTTGATCCACAGCGTCCGACACTCGGCCCAGTAATTCCTTAGTTGTCTGCACAGACTGAAAACTAAGGTCGGCCCCCGCAGCCAAGTCCATGGCCTCAGTGAAAAGAGGGGCCAGTCCGCCCTGGGCTCTGGCCACTTGGCGGGGCACGGGAATCAAAGCCGAGCGTGCCGCTTGGACAGCGGTCGCGTTCCTGACACCTTTCGAACAATACCCTGACAAATGGTGGGGAGGGGGAAAAGAAGCCTGCCACAAGCGCAGGAAGACGCTGAGGCGCTGGTGGAGCCAGCGCGCAGCGAAGAGGTCGGGGTGCATCGGGCCCCTCATGTCAGAATCAATGAGCTTGTTCCATATAATCTTCGGTTTGGCACCACGAAGGCCAAGCCGAATGTCCTGGTTGGTGAGACTGCAAAGCTCAATATCGGCGAGGTCCGCCCATTTCTGGCAAGCCCTACTGAGCCCCATCCTGCGTAGCCTGTCCCTTCCCCGGGTGGGCCGTCCGCAGCACCCCTTCGAGCTCAGCACGAATGTGATCGTACACAGGCGGGGCGCATGGCGGCCCGATGCAGCGATCAATGCTGATCCGCGGGGGCTTCTGGAAAGCCACGACACGGAGGCGGGCGACGCACGCGAACAGCTTGAGCAGGGGGGGGGGGGGGGCGAGGTCCGACACCCTATCCAGATCGATGGACCGCGCGGCTTTGCTAAGGCCGTGGCTAAGAATAAAATAGTCGTTGGTTCTCATACCCCCAGTAGTTGAGCAGGTAGGAGAGGGGGGGAAATCAGCGCACCACGGGCAACTTCGAGGAAGTCGGAGGTGGAGAACGTAAGTGGTTCGAGGTTGAAATCCCCACCGACAAGCCAAGGCAGACCTGAAGCCCCCACATACTCACCAATACTGCGCAACACGGAGATGTTGGGTTCAGCGAGGCCCACGCCGTGCAGGAGGTAAGTGGAGACGATGGCGATTTGGCACCCACCAGGAACCTGGATGATGTCCCCTATGGCTCTGCCGTCAAAAAAGCGCATGGTTGTTGCCCAACGCGTGGAGCCCCAGGAAGTCCCTGACCAGGATGCTGACGCCGCCTCGGGTGCCTCCGTTGTACCCAGGGAGGGCTGCCGTCCAGAGGGATTTCCACCCGTGGCGAATGGCCCATGCAGAGGCCTGCGCTATATCCTCTTGGGACCTCAACTGATGCTCCTGGAGGCACACAACAGTGGCTGGCGCCTGGGTGAGCCACGTACGGCCAGAACCCCAGCCTGAAACATTGGCCGACGCAAAAACGATGGAAAAATCCGAGTCCTCTGAGGCCCCTAAAAAGGTGGATTGAGCTAAGCTAATCCCACGCACACGGAGGGCTTCAAGGGCTTCTGTACAGGGCTCTGTCAAAATGGTTTGAGCTCTGTCGAGGGTCCTGGCCAACGCTCCCCAGAACCCTTTAGGAGGAGATCCCTGGGCCCTCTGGAGCCCCTTGGGAAGGTTAAAGACTTGACCCCTCGTCAGGGACTGGTCTGGCAATGGCTGCGGCCCTTGACGTGAGGTCAACTCCGCTGCTGCCTCGGGCCATGCCCGCGGGTGCACCAGGCGGGGGAGGATGAGGCAACTCTTTTGCCTCTCCAGGAGCTCCAGGGGCAGCAGGGCCAGCGGGCTCTGGGGGTGGCCCCCCTCGTGGCTCAGTCGGGGTGGCGGTGCCTCCAGCTCCTGCCGAGGCTCCTGACTCAGTACGTCGCTTCTTGACGGCAAGAAGGGTGAACAAATCCTTGTGTTCGGATTTGATGGCGTCGGCCTTTTCGATAGCGGCCGAGAAAAGGGCGCGGGTCTGCTCACGCGGGCCTTGCTTGAGGGACATGACCAGCTCCTCGGCCTGGCGCCTGTCCTCACCCGAGATGCCGTCGAGGTCGGAGCCCTCGAGCTGGAGCACATCTCCCAACTCGATGGGTAGGTCCTCCAGCGAGCCGTCGAGGATGCTGCGGACCGTGAGTGCCTGCGGCGCCTGCTCGACGGCGGCCTTGGGCGCGTAGGCTGAGTGCAATTGCCGTACGAGGGCTCCGTGACTTTCTTCAGCTTCTTGCAGCTCAGCGCTGAGACGTTTGACCTCCAGTCTTTGTGTGTCGAGCTGGGCCTGCATCTGGTGGAAATGGTCCACAGCCCGCCCCAGTCGACCCTCTGCGGCGCGAAGCTTGTGGAACTCCTTCGTGATGCGCTGCTGGATGGGCGTCTCCTTGGCTGGGGCGCGGCGCTGGTCCAGGACGGCCTGGTATCGTGCAGCACCCACCTTGTCGCCGATCTTGCCGAGGGTGCGGACCAGAGCTTCGAGCTCGACCGTGTCCAGCTCGTCGTGCTGAGCGTCGCCACGTTGATTGCCATTGCCAGCAGCAGCAGGAGGGGGCGGAGATGCCGAAAACTGCCATCGGCCTGGCGGCGAGCCTCCCGCCCACACTCCCATGGGCGGCTGTGACTTGTCGAAAGCTGGCGCAAGCCTTGTTGAGCCACAATGCTTGCAGACGTTGAAGCGCGGGTCGTTGCGCTTGCAAGGACAGTACGCACATGCCCACGAGTCTGGGGAAGGAGGGGCCTTCGGCTGCTTCTTCTGACGGGTATCCGCCGCTCTCTGCACACCTGGAAACTTCGGGCCCACCTGGAAGAACGGATTGTTCGTGACGATGGGGAGTTGGGCAAAAGGTCCTGCACCTCTAAGACCAGGTCCCTTACCCCCTCCTTGCTGTTGCGCCGCATACATGGCGGCACCTGCGGGGAAGCTGTAATTGTGAAGAAAGCTGGGCGGAGTCGCGAACTCCTGGCCAGTAGGACTCAAAGGGAATCAAAGAACCACACGCCTCAATCTCTCGAGCGAGGTTGGAAGTTCAGGAGAAAGGCCCCTTGAGCCAAAATGGCTACGGAGGAGGAGGAGGAGGAGGAGGACGAGGAGGAGGAGGAGGAGGAGAGGAGGGAGACGAGGAGGGGGAGGAGGGGGAGGAGCATGAGGAGGAGGAGGAGCAGGAGGAGGCGGAGGAGGAGCATGAGGAGGAGGAGGGAGGAGGAGAAGGAGGAGGGAGGAGGAGGAGGAAGAGAAAGAGGAGAGACGGAAGAAGAGCGAGGAGAAGCGAGGAGGAGCGAGAAGGAGCGAAACAAAGGATGAGGAGGAGGAGGAGGAGGAGGACGAGAAGGAGGGGGAGGAGGAGAAGGAGGAGGAGGAGGAGGAGGAGGAGGGAAGGAGGAGGAGGAGGAGGGGGGGGGAGGAGGAGGAGGAGGAGGAGGAGGGAGGAGGAGGGGAGGAGGAGGAGGAGGAGGAGGGAGAGGAGGAGGAGAGGAGGAGGAGGGGGAGGGAGGAGGAGGAGGAGGAGGAGGAGGAGGAGGAGGAGGAGGAGGAGGAGGAGGAGGAGGAGGAGGAGAAGGAGGAGGAGGAGGAGGAGGAGGAATGATCCCTTCCTTGATGAGATGGACCAGGGCGGAGGGCTCGAAGCAGCTGCACCTGCCCACCGCCTCCTGGCCGATGGCGGCAATCATCGCCGCCGCGCAGGGCACGCGCACCGCCGCGAAGCCGGTGACCAGGTTGGCCAGGGACTGCGCGGAGAACTCTGGCAGCCTAGGGCGACGAGATCTATATACATGTCCACTGCTCCCTGGCCAGGCTCATCCTGAACCCAGCAGCGGTGCATACGCCACGTCCTCGTGGCTTGGCCGGGACGGCGTCTACACAGCTTCTGGGTTACGTCGCATCTTCGGGGGGCCTTGTCTGTCCAGTCGCGCCCCTGTCCGCGTCGAGTCCGTGTCGAATCCGTCTACGATCCACGTCGAGTGGGCATCGAGCCCGCGTCGGGCACAAGAAGAGACACCCATTTGGGGGGACAGGCGAGGCGACCATGTCTGGGCTTTTTGCGCCCCGGAAACGGCAGGGCCGTTTTTTCACCGTTGAAAATGGAACGGCAAAAAAACGGCGACCGGAAACGGCAACAAAAATGGCTCCAGGATTGGAGCCGGAGCCGGAACCGGTCACAAAACGGCGACGGAACCGGTAAAAAACGGCGTCGGAACCCGCAAAAAAACGGCAAAACGGAACAGGTAAAAAAACAGCCCTGTCGTTTCCAGGGCCCGCTAAGTGTCTGGGTATAGATTTCGTCGCCCGACGGCCGGGGCAGCGCCCAGGGGGCGACCGCCTGGAAGAAGTCCGCGACGAGCGGCGGCGGCGGCGGGGCCTGGCCGCCGTGGCTCCTCGGGGGGAGGACGGGGGGGTTCTGCTTAGGTCGGGCGTGTCCTCCAACAGGTGGATTTTCGGCGAAAAATCAAACATAGCCCCCCCCCCTCAAAAAAAATAAAAAACAAAAAAAAACTACCAGAAAAATGCTAGAAAAATCGTCCACTGACTACTTTTCGACTATATTCGAACATGTTCCTGGTAGAGGGACAGGCCCGACTTAGGGTTAGACCGATGCCGCTGCTCTCTCGTCCTGGAGAGCCCTCGCTCGTGTCCGCGGCTGGACTCTCTCCTCGAAGTCCTGGTCAGAACGCGCCCCGGGACTTTCTGTGGGCCCCGGAAACGGCAGGGCCGTTTTTTCACCGTTTCCCAAAAAATGTCCCTTGAAAACGGAAACGGTAAAAACGGCGACCGGAAACGGCAAAAAAACGGCTCCAGGATTGGAACCGGAGCCGGAACCGGTCACAAAACGGCGACGGAACCGGCAAGAAAAATGGCGTCGGAACCCGCAACAAAAACAGCAAAACGGAACCGGCAAAAAACGGCCATGTCGTTTCCAGGGCCCACTAAGCCCCGGGAGGGGTCCGGGGAATACGTAGTAGCGGTGGAACTCTAATCGTGGAACTCTAATCGCGGACTGGCCATGGGCATCACTGCCGTCCTCATCAGATAAGGAATCCTCGAGGGCCTGCAGCCGCCTGGGCAAGTTCCTTAGCCAACGCCCCCACTGTAGCAGCATCGGTGTCTTCTGATTTCCCAGAGGACACCCGTGTTCAAGCCATTCGAGATGTCGACCATGCTGTTTTTCGCCGTGCTGAGCCTCCATGGGAGGTCCTCGTCGCCACGGCTGGATTCGCCTCGAAATCCCGGTCAGCACGCGCCCCGGGAGAGGTCCGGAATAGCGGTGTCGGCATCTTCTGATCTCCCAGGGGACATACGTCTGTTTTTCGCCGTTGTGGGCCTCCTGGGATAGGGGAACGAAACATGACATGAACATTAAAACATAAGTCCGCGCGGATTTCTCGGATCGGGGCTGGGGCCCTCCTGGCGGCGTCTCCGGCGCCGCCCCTGGCGCGCTACGCGCGCCAAGGAAGGGGGTCAAGCCAAGCGCCGATCCGAGAAATCCGCGCGGACCTCCGAGTTTCTCTGTTTGTATCATGGTTCGTTCCCCTATGATATTTCCCAGAGGACATCCGTGTCTAAGCCCTTGGAGATGTCGACGGTGCTGTTTTTCGCCGTCTGTGGGCCTCCTGGGAGGCCCTCGTCGCCACGGCTGGAGCCGCCTCGATGCCCTGGCCAGAGCACGCACCCCGGGAGAGGTCCCCCGAGGAGCATCGGCCACACGCCGATGCTGGTCCGGGCCCTTGCCGGCTGTCGCCGACCCGTGAGGACGGACCACGAACCGACGGTGACCAAGATGGACGGTGACCAGGATGCCCAGACCCCCTCGAGTCCTGAAAAAATCACGACGGGAGGTTCTTCATGATTCTTGGCCTCTGGGGGCCCCTACAGGCCCTCGGGACAGTCAAAAAACAACTCAGGACGAAAAACCGGTCCTGGGGAATGGGTCCAGACCTCTGGGGGTCGACGTCATGAAAAAATCATGACGTCGGGGGTCTGGGATGGACGGTGACCAGGATGTCGCGGTAAAAGGTACGTGCAGTCACGCGCTGCAGCGGGAAGGATGCTCCGCCCACGTTCGAGAGCGCGCTGCGCTGGCAACGCTGCTCGGCTCAGGTGCGAGCATCGCTGCCGCTGCGGCGCGCGATTGCGCACATCTTTTGTCGCACTGGAGCCGAGCGCCGCTGCCACTGCAGCCTGCGGTTGCACATACAGCCGGGGCGTTGACCCAAGGAACCCTAAATAAGGAACGAGGCCCCTTTTTTCCGCAAGTTAAACTTCGATTCCCGATCGAAAGCATAAGGAAAACCTGAGCCAAACTGTGAAACACTTAAGGAACACGGAGCCCCTTCCCAACGACCTTCTTCAGGGCCCCGACTGTACTTGCTTTGTCGACGCCGATGTGGGTCCTGGTCCCTGCCGGCCGTCGCCGACCCGTGGATGGATGGGCCAGGGATCGACGGTGACCAGGATGGACGGTGGCCAAGACTGGCACCGACGTGAAGGCACGTGCCGATACCGCTGCCCTGAGATCCGACGTTGCAAAAATATGCAACATCGCAAAATAGTTAAAACAAATGAAGGTAAGCTAAGCTAAGATAAACCTGAGCTAAGATGAAGCTAAGCTAAGCTAAGATGAAATAAGCTAAGCTAAGATGAGATAAGCAACGCTAAGCTAAGGGGACGTCACTGGGGGAACCGCGGGGCGGATCCTGGGGGAACCGCCCGGGGCGAGTTGCGCTGCCCGGCCCCTTTAAGTCAAGACAGTAAGAACCCTTCTAGGCAGAGCCTAGGTAGGGAAAAACACATGACAGGAGCCAACGACCCCATCTTTCTGCGTCCCTCTTCGAGCTGGGTCGATCTGTGAGAGGGCCCCGGGGCCCGAAAAATTGGGGGGAGAACGCCCAATAATAAAAAAAAAAAAAAAAAAAAAAAAAAAACTCGCCAGGATCTCGGGCTGCCCTTGCGCCTCGTTTTCTCCGTCTTGGGCCCCCATGGGAGGCCCTCGTCGCCGTGGCCGGCTTCGCCCCGAAGCCCCGGTCAGAGCGCGCCCCCCAGACCCCCTCGAGTCATGAAAAAATCACGACGGTAGGATTTTCATTATTTTTGGACCCTGGGGGCCCTTACTGGCCTTCGGGACCGTCAAAAAACGACTCAGGACGAAAAACCGGTCCTGGGGAATGGGTCCAGACCTCCGGGGGCCGACGTCATGAAAAAATCATGACGTCGGGGGTCTGGGCCCCGGAGAGGTCCCGGGGGAGCATCGGCCACACGCCAAGAGTGGCCCTGGGCCTATGCTGTTCCCATCGCACTTGGGGACCACATCCCAGAAGAAACCTTCGAGCACCCAGAGAAGTGTCGAATAGGGAAAAAAAAACGACCTCGCTTTTGACCACCCTCGCTTCCAAGAGATACCAGACGATGCCAAATTGCAGCCTGTACTAGTCAGGCCGCTTGACGAGGAGGCGGCGGTATGGCTTGGTTTTGCCTGAAAGCGAAAGCGGGGTAGGTAATTCACGCTCTGATCGAAACGGTGTCGAAGGAGTATCGCCTCCCAGGGCCCGACACGTGAAAACTCTTCAGCTTCGGTACTTACTTTCCTGGTGCTCGAACATGTTTCTGGTGGTCAAGGCTAAAGTAGGTTGGAACATCCTACTCCGAGGCAGGAGTGACCTTCGGTGCGCGGCCTAACGAGGGACGCGGGATGCCCAACCCTGGGCGCGCAAGCCGCTGCTGCCGCTTCTCGCTCAGCGATCGGAGGACCCCATTGGGCCCGCACCAAAGGTCACTCCAGCGAAAGCTCATACTGCGGCTGCACGCAAGAGCGACCCTAGGCAAGACTGACCTTTGGTGCGCGGCTTCTGGGGAACCGCGGAGGGGCTAAACCCACGCACGCACGAGGCAACTATAGCATCGCGTTCGGCGATCGGGGGATCCCATTAGGCCCGCATCAAAGGTCACTCCGGCGAAAGGTCATACATACGTCTAGTCGAGAATATACGTCGGCCGGGAAGAGTAGGTAGCAATATGAAGTAGGAAGGCGGGCAAAGTAGGCTGGGTTCAGGCCCTCCCAGAGAATCGCAGAGTACAGCAAAAGCATGCCGATGATTGAAGCAGGAAGGCGCTAGAACTAGACTGGGATCCGGGAATCAAACACCCGCGTGCGAAAGAAGAGGAAGAAGAAGAAGGAGAAGAAGAAGAAGAAGAAGAAGAAGCCCGTGCAGACTTTTCTCAGTTCCACGCCGGAGGCCTCCTCCTTCTCCTCCTCCCCCTCATCCTCCTCCTCCTTCTCCTCCTCCTCCTCCTCCCCCTCCTTCTCCTCCTCCCCCTCATCCTCCCTCCTTCTCCTCCTCCTCCTCCTCCTCCTCCTCCTCCTCCTCCTCCTCCTCCTCCTTTCTCCCTCCTCCTCCTCCTCCTCCTCCTTCTCCTCCTCCTCCTCCTCCTCCTCCTCCTCGCTCCTCCTCGTTCCCCCGGCTCCCGCGCGCGGCGCCGGGCAGGTGCGCGGCGGACGGGCCCTCGGCGAGGGGCGCTGCCGCCGGGCGCGGCTCGGCTGGCGCGAGCGCCTTCGCCACGGCCAGCGCCGTGGACGACACCTCCTGTCGGCGGCGAGCGGGGGCGGGGGGAGGAGGAGGAGGAGGAGGAGGAGGAGGAGGAGGAGGAGGAGGAGGAGGAGGAGGAGGAGGAGGAGGAGGAGAGAGGCGGAGGAGGATGATGATGATGATGAGGAGGAGGAGGACGAAGACGACGAAGACGAGGAGGGGGGCGAAGACGAGGAGGAGGACGAGGGCGAGGACGAGGACGAGGACCAGAAGGAGGAGGAGGAGGAGGAGGAGGAGAAGGCCTTCTCAGAAGGCGGCGGGGCTTCTCAGAAGCTCTCGCGCCGTCTGAGAAGTTCTGGACGGTGCCTTCGGGGAAGGCGTGGAAGACTTCTCGGAAGGCCGGGGGGGACGTCCGAGTCCGAGCCTTCCCGACGATCGGGGGGGCGTCCGAGAGGGGGGCGTCCGAGAGGGCGGGCGCCACTCCTGGCGGACGGCACGTGCGCGGCCCAGGGGGGGGGGGGCCAGGGACGCAGTGGAATCAGAAGGGGCGCCACGGAATCTCTGAGGAAACATCCTGGCCCCCGCCATGGTTTCCACCCCCCTCCCCGGTCGTCGCCCCCCTCGTGGCCCCCCACCCGAGGCGAGGCCCGCATCTTCTCGCGTCCCCCCAAAGGAGCGCCGCCGCTCCTGGGGCTTGAAGGCCTCCAGCCGCGAGATGCAGAGCGGCAGCAGCGCGAGGGCCGTCCTCTGCGTGGCCGCGTGACGCGGCTGCACCCGCGCGAAGGCCCACAGGATGTTCGCCAGGTGCTGCGCCTGAAGTTTTGTTGGTCTCATCGCACTTACGGACCACATCCCAGCAATGACCTCGAGCACCCAGAGAAGTATCGAAGCAGCGTCGAAGGAGCATCGCCTCCCAGGGCCCCGCACGTGAGAGCCCTCGAGTTTCGGTACTTCCCTGGTGCTCGAAATTCTTCCTGGTGATCAAGGCTAAGGCCAGCTGGAACATCACAGGCCTGAAGGTCCATGCTCTGGGCTGCCAGCCCGGAGCTGGAGAAGAAGCCCTCGTGGAAGAAGCCGTTGGTGGCGAAGCCCCAGAGGAGGTTGGAGAGCTCCTGCCGAGCAGCGCTCCGCCGATCCCCTATGCCAGCCGGCGCGTGGCCCCGGCCCCCCCTGGCCACGCTAGGGGGCCACGTGCGAACCCTACCCCTACCCCCCACGATTTCTGAGGGGGAGGGTGGGGTTCACTTCGCTCGGGAGCTCCCGAACGAAGTGAACCCGAAATCGTGGGGGGTAGGGGTAGGGTTCGCACGTGGCCCCCTGCACGCTCCGCTCCCGAGCCGGAGATGCCCGCTGCTCCCCCTCGGGCCTCGCGGGACCCGTGCCCACCTTCGGAGGCGGCGCTGGTGGGGCCGAGATGCCACGACCCAATTTACCAGCCTCGAGCGTACCTCTATCCCTAAGATTGACACGCCACAAGGCGATGACAATCTTAGGGAATCGCCCTCAAAAAATAAGGGAATCCCTAAGATTGGCATCGTGATGAGGAGATGCCCAGCATAGGGATAGGGATATGTTCCAGGCTGGTAACCAGTGGGGATGGGGACCGGCCACGAGGGCGCTGGCCTGCGGCTTGAACTCGGGGAGGTGTAGCAGCGCCGTCTCGGCCAGCGCCGTGAAGAGCCGGTCGTCATGGAAGCCGGCGGTGCCGAATGCCCACGCCGTGTTGGCGATCTCCTGGCAGTTGGCCGCGTGCACCATGGGTATCATTTGCGTCGCGATGCCGCGGAAGAGGCGCGGGTTATGCTGTCGCGCAGTAGCGAAGGACCAGGCAGTAGTGGCGAGGCAGCGGAACCCAAACTGATCCAGGTTGTGCGTGATGTGGTTTGCGGCAGCGTGGAAGAATGCCCTTGCATTCTTCCCCGACTCGCCACAATCAACCGAGCCCAGCTTGGCCAACGCCCAGAGCATGGTCGACATCTCGAATGGCTTGAACACGGAAGTCCTTTGCGAAACCAGAAAATTCCAATACCGCCATTCCCCAGACCTCTCGCGGGGCATGTTTTGACCAGGAGTTTGAAGCGAATCCAACAAAACGGCGAAAACGAGGCGCAAGGGTAGCGGCATGGGTGCCTTCAAATCGGTGCCGATCTTGGTCACCGTCCACCTGGGTCACTGTCGACCTGTGGTCCATCCTCACAGGTCGGCGACGGCCGGCAAAGGACGAGGACCAAGGTCGGCATCGATAAAAAAGTATGTGCAATCACGCGCTGCAGTGGCATCGACGCTCGGCTCAAGTGCTACAACAGATGTGCACAATCACGCGCCGCAGTGGCAACGATGCTCGCACTTGAGCCGAGCAGCGTTGCCAATGCAGCCCGCTATCGCACCTCGGCAGAGCATCGCTCCCACTGCAGCGCGTGATTGCACACTCTTCTTGCCGCGACATGTTGGTCACTGCCAGAGTGGTTCTTCCCTCGTGTCTTCGCCGTGGCCAAAGCAGTTGCTGCCTGCAGCAGCGGCCAATTCATCAGCCTGAGGGGCAACGATAATTGAGCAGGGACCGACCGTCCCGGCATTCCTATAGTCCTACCACGAAATGTTCTTAGAACCCACCAATGTTCTAAGAACAAAAACAATGTTCTTAGACCATGAATCCGATGTGTTCACACAAGACAATATCGACCATACATGTTCTAAGAACATGCCGTGCAGACCACAAAAGGTTCTTAGAACATTCTTCGGTTGGACTATAGGCGAGCCAGGACGCTTCGCCACTGCTAAAGACAAGGGGGGACCAGCTTAGGAGCGAAAGAGCAACCTCTCAAATCTGCGACACATGATCCTGGGCTCCGGGCCCACGGCCCCGCCCCCCCCACAGATGGGGTGGGTCTCTGGGTCCTTCGGGCCCCCCCCCCACCCACCCCAGATGGGATGGGGGAGGGCGACGACGACGACGAAGACACCGTCCGCCCGGGCTTGAAACCTGCCGGCGCACGCCAGATTGAGCGCGCACTTGGCTTCATCGGAGGAGGCCAGCCCAAAATAACGACGGCTGTTATGCGCAATGGCAGATTGGCACCTCCCCTCCGTCAAATGTACAGTTTTACGTCATGCCTGGGACGGCGACACATGTGCCGATGCCGATGCCGATGCCGACGCTGATGTCGTCGTCGTCCTTCTCCTCCTCATCATCATTTTCCTCCTCCTCCTCCTCCTCCTCCTCCTCCTCCTCCTCGCTCGCTCCTCGCTCCTCGCTCCTCGCTCCTCGCTCCTCGCTCCTCGCTCCTCGCTCCTCGCTCCTCGCTCCTCGCTCCTCCTCCTCCTCCTCCTCCTCCTCCTCCTCCTCCTCCTCCTTCTCCTCCTCGGGAGGCCCCGACCACCACCACCACCACCACCCACCACCCATCACCCCACACCCACCGGGGGTGGGAGGGCCGGACCCCCACACCCACCACCTATAGACGACGGGTGTTCGATTCATAACTCGGCTCACCGGCGGCCGTGCGGGGCGATCTGGGCAACCCTGGAGCGCCCCGTGCAGGACGAGACGATGCGATCTGGGCAACCCCCGAGCGCACTCTGCGAGGCGCAGCCGCCGGAAGGCCTCCCGAGGCTGGAAAGCCGCCGAAAACGGACGGAAATGCCAGAACATCTCGAACGCCGAGCCTCGAACCACGAGCCTGCCCCCCTCACAGCCGACACTACGAGCAAGAGAATTTTACCATGCAGGAAACCTGGGCCAACTTCCAGGAAGCTTCTTAAAACAGGCCTGGGCAAAGTCCGGATGTTGACGCCGAAAGGGGCGAGCGTGCTGAAGACACTGGGCCAGCTTCCTGGCGAGTTGGCTAAGAAACGCTGGCACAGCTTCTCCGGAGGAGGTCTCTCAATCGGATGCTCGACTCTGCAGACGCCCCTGACAGCCGCATCGTGGCCAGCGACCAGACGACGTTGCTCAGCGACTGCGGCTGCACTGCACTCGGCTCGAGCGCCTCCAGCGCGGAGGCGATGGCGGCCTCCAGCTCCTTCACCGCGGGGTGCCGCCGCAGCGCCGCCTGGGCACCAGCGTCGCCCGCGGTGACCTCCAGACGAAACACACACACACACACACACACACACTCACACAAAAATTATGCTAACGGAGTTCCCCACATAAAGAGATTAACGGTTTCGTGGGACCCATTTTCTTGATGCCCTCCTCGCTTTGGCGGGGCCCCGCTGGAAGGGGGGAGGGCTACGAAACCTGGCGAAGAGTAATGCTTTCCGCGACCCTCCTCGTTCAAGCGCGGCCTCTCTGGAGGAGTGGAGGGGGGACACGAAACCATGTAAATAGTATGGTTTTCGGATACCCTCCTCGCTCAGGCGGGGCCTCCCTGGAGGGGTGGGAGGGGCACGAAACCATGTAAATAGTATGGTTTCCGATACCCTCCTCGCTCAGGCGGGGCCTCCCTGGAGGGGTGGGAGGGGCACGAAACCATGTAAATAGTATGGTATTCCGATACCCTCCTCGCTCAGGCGGGGCCTCCCTGGAGGGGTGGGAGGGGCACGAAACCATGTAAATAGTATGGTATTCCGATACCCTCCTCGCTCAGGCGGGGCCTCCCTGGAGGGGTGGGAGGGGCACGAAACCATGTAAATAGTATGGTTTCCGATACCCTCCTCGCTCAGGCGGGGCCTCCCTGGAGGGGTGGGAGGGGCACGAAACCATGTAAATAGTATGGTTTTCCGATACCCTCCTCGCTCAGGCGGGGCCTCCCTGGAGGGTGGGAGGGGCACGAAACCATGTAAATAGTATGGTTTTCGGATACCCTCCTCGCTCAGGCGGGGCCTCCCTGGAGAGGTGGGAGGGGCACGAAACCATGTAAATAGTATGGTTTTCGGATACCCTCCTCGCTCAGGCGGGGCCTCCGTGGAGGTGTGGGAGGGGCACGAAACCATGTAAATAGTATGGTTTTCGGATACCCTCCTCGCTCAGGCTGGGCCTCCCTGCAGGGGTGGGAGGGGCACGAAACCATGTAAATAGTATGGTTTTCGGATACCCTCCTCGCTCAGGCGGGGCCTCCCTGGAGGGGTGGGAGGGGCACGAAACCATGTAAATATTATGGTTTCCGATACCCTCCTCGCTCAGGCGGGGCCTCCCTGGAGGGGTGGGAGGGGCACGAAACCATGTAAATAGTATGGTATTCCGATACCCTCCTCGCTCAGGCGGGGCCTCCCTGGAGGGGTGGGAGGGGCACGAAACCATGTAAGCAGTATGGTTTTCGGTATGGAGTGGTATGGAATGGTATGGTAGGTATGGTATGGTACGGTATGGTATGATATGGTATGGTATGGTACTGGAGGTATGGTATGGTATGGTACGGTGTGGCATTGGTGTGATATGGTGGCGGGGCCTCCCTGGAAGGTGGGAGGGGCACGAAACCATGTAAATAGTATGGTTTTCGGATACCCTCCTCGCTCAGGCGGGGCCTCCCTGGAGGTGTGGGAGGGGCACGAAACCATGTAAATAGTATGGTTTCCGATACCCTCCTCGCTCAGGCGGGGCCTCCCTGAAGGGTGGGAGGGGCACGAAACCATGTAAATAGTATGGTATTCCGATACCTTCCTCGCTCAGGCGGGGCCTCCCTGGAGGGGTGGGAGGGGCACGAAACCATGTAAATAGTATGGTATTCCGATACCCTCCTCGCTCAGGCGGGGCCTCCCTGGAGGGGTGGGAGGGGCACGAAACCATGTAAATAGTATGGTATTCCGATACCCTCCTCGCTCAGGCGGGGCCTCCCTGGAGGGGTGGGAGGGGCACGAAACCATGTAAATAGTATGGTATTCCGATACCCTCCTCGCTCAGGCGGGGCCTCCCTGGAGGGGTGGGAGGGGCACGAAACCATGTAAATAGTATGGTATTCCGATACCCTCCTCGCTCAGGCGGGGCCTCCCTGGAGGGGTGGGAGGGGCACGAAACCATGTAAATAGTATGGTATTCGATACCCTCCTCGCTCAGGCGGGGCCTCCCTGGAGGGGTGGGAGGGGCACGAAACCATGTAAATCGTATGGTTTTCGGATACCCTCCTCGCTCAGGCGGGGCCTCCGTGGAGGTGTGGGAGGGGCACGAAACCATGTAAATAGTATGGTTTTCCGATACCCTCCTCGCTCAGGCGGGCCTCCCTGCAGGGGTGGGAGGGGCACGAAACCATGTAAATAGTATGGTTTTCCGATACGCTCCTCGCTCAATCGGGGCCTCCCTGGAGGGGTGGGAGGGGCACGAAACCATGTAAATAGTATGGTTTTCCGATACCCTCCTCGCTCAGGCGGGGCCTCCCTGGAGGGGTGGGAGGGGCACGAAACCATGTAAGTAGTATGGTTTTCGGTATGGAGTATGGAATGGTATGGTAGGTATGGTATGGTACGGTATGGTATGATATGGTATGGTATGGTACTGGAGGTATGGTATGGTATGGTACGGTGTGGCATTGGTGTGATATGGTATGGTATGCTATGGTACGCCATGGTATGGTATGGTACGGCATGGTACGTATGGTGTGGTATGGTATGGTATGGTATGTGTGGTAGGAACTATGGTATGGTATGGTGTGTGTGGTAGGAATAATATTGTGCTGTATGGAAGATGGAGCGGGAGGAAAACAAGAACCCCACTCAGGATGTGGGGAAAAAGAGGCATAGACCTACCGGGAAGCTGGAACATAGACATGGCTGATTTCGGAAACCCTGAACCCCAAAAAGGTTCCCATCTCTTGGGGACGAATCTTTCACTTCCGCCACCCTCTGCCAGCCTCCCGCCACCCTCTGCCAGCTTCCGCCGGCGGAGGCGGCCTCGCTGTACTCGGGAGCGGCCAAGAGGGGGGTGTCCAAGAGGGGGGGGGGTGCAAATCATGACCGGCGGCATGTGCGCGGCCCAGCGGGGGGGCCAGGGACGTAATGAGATGAGAAGAGGCGCCATGAGATCTGGGGAAACATCATGCCCCCCGCCATGATATCCCCCCCCTAGTCATCACCCTCTTTTCCGCCCCCGATGTGCCTCCGCGGACTCTCCGCCACCCTTTTCCGCCGCCCTTCCGCCGCGGAAGAGGTGACAACTCCGCCGCTCCTCGAGGACGAGGCCCTCGCTGGAACGCCCCAAACGGGGCTGCATGCACAGCATGTGGAAAAAAATCCGGAGACCGCGCCATGCACACACACACACACACATACACACACACACGTGCGGAAGTACGGACTACGCTTAGGTCGGGCCTGTCCCCTGCAGGGGGATTTTTCGACGAAACATTAAAAAATACCCAAATAATAAACAAAAAATGCTCCAAAAATGGTCTGGGGACTATTTTTTTGAATATTTGTTTACCTTTTTGGGGGTATTTTTGGGGTATCTTTTATTTTTCGTCGGAAATAAGAGGAAAGCGAAGAACCGAGTTCCGTTCAAGCAGATGTACCAGACTAATCGGCAGGCAGTTCTAGCTCCAGAAGAGTTGGAGGAAGCCACGGCCATTGGCAGCGTGCATGACTGGCTGTGCAATAAGCACCTTCCCATATGAGACAGTAGCGATGGCCCGATCATTCTCCCAACCTGATCCTCCCAAATCAACGATTCTCTTGCTTGCAGGGGGGGCCCCGCGCCGATCCAAGGACTCCGCGCGGAGCTCTGAACTTGCATGCCTCTGCTGCAACTTTCCCCCCGAGCCTTGGCCAGCCGGTGGATGGCCGTCGAGAGGTTCACCAGGTTCATCTGCCCGAGGTGGGCCGCGATGGCGGACAGGAGCTCCCGCACGCCGATGTTCGAGGCGGCTATGATCTGCGAGTTGATCCACGGGCACTGGCCCCTCCTCTCGTCGCGCGGCGCCCGGTCCCGGCCGCGCCCGCCCTGGCCGCCGCCGCCGCGGGCTCGGGCCTCCGCGTGGCCCCGCGGCTGCCTTGCCGCCATCCCTGGGGGGCGCGCCGGCCTGGCCCCGCCCGCTGTGGTGGGCGCGGGCGGGGCAGACGCCTGCGGGTGCGCAGGAAGCGTCGCAATGTCACCCCCTGCCCTGGAAACGGCTGCGCCACCTTGCAGGACCGCCCTGCGCGGAGGAGGAGGAGGAGGAGGAGGAGGAGGCGGAGGAGGAGGAGGAGGAGGAGGGATAGGAGGAGGAGGGATAGGAGGAGGAGAAGGAGGAGGAGGAGGAGGACGAGGAGGAGGAGGTCCACCCAAAGGCACAGCCCCTACCCCAGGGGCCTCCACGACACAGCGGGCACCAAGCCCAGTCGTGCCCCGCCAGGCCACCGCTGAGGGCCGGAAGAAGGTGAACGCGGCAGCTTCTGCTCGCCCCGGACATGCAAACACATGTTGGACTTCTCCTCCTCCTCCTCCTCCTCCCCCTCCTCCTCCTCCTCCCTCCTCCTCCTCCTCCTCTTCCTCCTCCTCCTCCTCCTCCACCTCACCCTCCGCCTCCTCCCCCTCCTTCTCATCCGCGCTTAAGGAGGCCCCTCACTCCGACATTCGCTGTGTGAGCTTCGCCTGTCTGCTGCTGCTACTGCACATGTTTGCCGCATCCTGTCAAAGATCCACGCTCCGCTTGCACAGCGGCGCGACCCCCAATATCTGGCAGGGAAAAGCAAACTCAATGTTTGGCTTGCCTTGAACAAAAGTCGAAGCCGATCATGCCGGCAAATCAAGTCACAGACGGCGCTAGCCTAAAGCTGCAGCTCAAAGCTGATATTACACATTAGGCCAGCCCACGACTCCGCGACTGTGTGTAAGCCACAGCTGGAGCTGCCGACTAAGACACAGCTGGAGCCAAACGTCAAAGTGCAAAGGGCAACAGTCGCAAGCACAGGCTGAAGCTGACGCGGAAGCCAACTCTGCTAGCAGCTGGAGGTGTCACTCAAGCGATGGCCCAATCCAGACTCGGGCTAAGGCTGAAATTACAAGCACCAGCAAGACCGAAGCAACAACCTAAGAAACACACCAGCGCCAAACCCGAATCTGAGTCAGAGCGAAAGCGATAAGCTAAGACGACAGCCAAGCCAAGTATCAACGACATCGCCAAATTGCCGATTACATCACGGCTGATAGAAAAATGTAAGAGCCACGGCACCATGACCCTACGATCTTGAATCGAAACGTGAAGACGCAAGGCAAATCCGCCGACCATGTCGGCGTGTGTGAGAGGCTTTTCCGTTTGAGTCGTCGTGGTCGTGGTCGTGGTCATGGTCGTCGTCACTGCTCCCACCCGTCCCTGTCCGTGGGCCCTTCTCGTCAAACGTCCCAGCCAAAGAGACATCGAACAACGTCGCAATCGAGTCGAAGGGAAGCCCATTTCCCTTTGATCCAGTCCCCGCCGGAGGGGGTGGTCGCGGGAGGGTTAAAGGGGGTCGCGTGGGGGGTAAAGGAGGGGCCGCGAGGGGGGAGCAGACGTAGGGTATGGGGGAGGGGGTAGGGGGGGGGATGGGGGAGGGGGGTAGGGGCGCGTGAGGGAGGGCAGGGGGGGGGGAGGGGGAGGGTGGGGATGGGGGGTGGTGGAGGGTGGGGAGGGGGGGGGGAGGGGGGGGGGTCCTGGGAGAAGCTTTCCCCTTCAATTCCTTGCCTCCCAAACGCCTCAGACTCCCCCTTCTGGGTCGGCGGCACTGGCCGCAAGGCCTTCACAATACCTCCGACATGCAGGCGACTGGGATAATTGAGGATCATGGAGTGGCAAATGCCAAACTGACTCCATTTAATTCCCTACCAAGGCTCTGCCTAGAAGGGTTCTAACTCTATGGGCTTAAAGGGCCGGGCACTGGAAATCGCCCCGGGCGGTTCCCCCGGCATCCGCCCCGCGGTTCCCCCAGTTGCGCCCCCTTAGCTTAGCTTTGCTTATATCATCTTAGCTTAGCCTAGTTTAACTTAGCGTAGCTTAGCTTAGCCTAGCCTAGCTTAGCTTAGCTTAGCTTAGCTTAGCCTAGTCTAGCTTAGCTTAGCATAGCTTAGCTCAGTTTAGTTTAGCTTAGCGCAGCATTAACACACCATATCATGACATAACACATCATAGCATAGCATAGCATGGCGCAGCATAGCATAGCGCAGCATAGCATAGCATAGCGCAGCATAGCATATCATAGCTTAGCATATCTTAGCATAGCATAGCTTAGCTTAGCATAGCACAGCGCAACATAGCATAGCATAGCATAGCATAACATAGCATAGCGCAGCATACCATATCATAGCATAGCATGACGCAGCATAGCATAGCATAGCATAGCATAGCATAGCATAGCATAGCATAGCGCAGCATATCATAGCATAAAATAGCATAGCATAGCGCAGCATAGCATAGCATAGCATAGCATAGCATAGTATAGCATACCAGTTACGTAGGAACGTTCGGTGTAGCACGTGTTGCGCAACCTTGCTCAATGTCAAGTCGTGCAATGTAGGCCTGATCTGGAGCATTCTCAAGCACACCCGGTGAGCGAATGCAACAACATGCGTGTGTCTGTGTGTGTGCGAAGGCAAAGCAAAAGCAAAACCAAACAAAAAACAAAAATAAAAGCAGCGCAACAGCAACAGCAACAGCAACAGCAAAAGCAAAGGCAAAGGCAAAAGCAAAGGCAAGAGCAATAGCAAAGGCAATGCAAAAGCAAAACCAATGCGAAAGTGTAGATGCATATTTAGATGTAGGTGTAGGTGTAGATGTGGATGTAGGTGTAGATGTAGATGTACATGTAGGTGTAGATGCAGGTGTAGATGTAGATGTAGATGTGAGTGTAGTTGCAGATGTAGATGTAGATGTAGATGCATGTGTGCATGTAGATGTAGCTGTAGGTGTAGCTGTGGATGTAGGTCTAGATGTAGATGTAGGTGTTCAACTGTACTATTACTACTACTACGACTACTACTACTACTACTACTACTACTACTACTACTACTACTACTACTACTACTACTACTACTACGACTACTACTACTACTACTACACTACTACTACTACTACTACTACTACTACTACTACTAGCTACTACTACTACTACTACTACTACTACTACTACTACTACTACTACTACTACTACTACTACTACTACTACTACTACT